AGACAGTATGTTCCTCCGTACAAATTGTTTGAAGATCTAAACGTTTTCTGGAACGCGGATGGAGGCGTTAGGAGTAGCAAATGACCTTTGTTGTAGTTAGAATCCTAAGATTAAGAACCCGAAAGGCGATAACAATAATTTGTCTTGCTACTTAAGCGCAAAACATCAAAATAAAGAAACTCAAAGATCCTACCTTCAATGTTTTGGGTGCTCGATTCGTCAGTCTGATATATGAACAATCTGTCTAGATACATTTTTTTACAAGGTCGTGTCACCGAATCGCTCATCTTGCCATCGAAGATGCAGGGAGAGATTGTAGACTTCTTCATCGATGCCATTGCATCTTTCAGCTCCAATTCACGACACAAAGGTAGACCAAACCCAACACCTTCATGCTTGTCTTAACTTTCTTCACCTGTTACAATCTTTAGTACTAGAATAACCGTTTTAATTTGTAACAACATGTGCATAAACAAGCTCTTTTCTACAAATAGCTTTCGAAACTAGCAATAACAGCTAAAGTTCACAGAAATGAAATCATAAAACAAAAGACACAGAAAGATGTAAAACACACACTAAAGATAACTATTTACAAAGCATTTACATGCGAAAAATAGAGAGATCCACAAATTTATTTGGCAAAACCTCCTCAATCAGTGATATGCTTTCTCATCGGAGGCTAATTAATCAATTCTATAAATAACACCCAAATTCCTTTCTTCCAATGAATTCACTTTGCATTGAAAACATGAATTAACTTACCATGATCTTATCTTGGTGATTGTGTGTTGTGGTGGTTGTATAACGAGACAAAGGAGCCAGCAGCCCCGGCGGCTAGCAACACCTGGTAAGGGTGAAAGGTGAGGCAACTGACTGGGTCAATCTTTTGGGCCATGAAGGAAGTGTGGTACTTTATGATCCCAAGTTGTTCTCCCTCAAGGCTGAACACTTTTATAAGCTGTTTTGCTGACCCGCTCGCTATGATTGGAGCGTGTCTATGAACACCCAATGCTGTGAGAGATCCTCTATGCGCCTCTATCGTCAGGTATGTCTCCTTTGATCTTCTCAGATCCAGAAACTGGATGTCACCTGCTTGTGATGCGCTCACAATCTGAGACACAACAAACACTTGTGAAGTGAGGAATTAGTTAAAATGCCTTATGTACTGACTGACGAGAATCAGAGACTGGGGTATGTGTAACCTTTGCCGGATCGAGTCCAGGCTGAAAGTTGAGTCCAACCACTTTCTCTACTCTCTGATGAGGCCGAGTAGCGCACACAAGCCTATACATTGGAGAAGTCAGATTTGATCTTTCTTACTGTTTAGAAGCAGAGCCCAGAGACTTGATATCCAAGACGAGAACCAAACAAAGCTCTGTAAATCAACTTACCATTCAGGTGTCCGAACATCATAAAGTCTGACAGATCCGTCTGCGAATCCAGCAGCGAGTTGGCCCCCATGCACTTGTGAAGCCGACTGCAAATACACACACATTAAAAAAGACTCATCAATCACGATCCAATCAGTCACGAGATCCTGTCTTCATATAGACAAAAGAAGACCTAGAAATTTTATATTTGGAAAATATACACCAGTTTGAAAATGCTAACTTACAAGGGCTGTGACGCTGCGCTCTGATTTAGATAACGCAGATTTGAAGAGTTGTTCTTTCTCCAGGTCCCAAAGCATGATTGATGACGATTCCCCAGAAGCATACTGGAGACACCAGTATTGCATCAAATACAGATTAACCAGGTTTTATCACTCCAACAAAAAAATATATATATTGCATGCTGTGAATGGAGTCGTCATATACCAGGTAGCCCGACTGCTGTTGCCAGTCTACAACAGCATTCAAGCCACGTGCACTTGGCTTGTGACCCTGGAGTGAAGAAAACCCTGTGACAAGCTTTTGTCTACCCTTTGTTGCATAGTCTTTCCATACACGGACTGACCCATCGCCTACACAGCATTTCAGAGCCACCGGTAAGACATTTTAAAAAGCCAAAATCAAGTAACAACTAAAATGTGAAGACACTCTGGCAAGAGCTGTGAACATTACATGAAGCAACAAGTAGCAGAGAGTCATCAAGTTCATTGACAAGGCAGAGCTTTGAAATTCCTTTGTCAGGAAAATCGTGATTGTCAAAGCCATTCAGAAGGGTTGCTTCCTCATAATTCCACACCCTGACATGGAAGACAGCTAAACTAAGAGTCCAGTCGAGGCAATTAAATCAAAGAGCAATTTCTAGATGAAACATTGGACTTAAAGAGCGACTTTACGTTGAAGCACATTATAAAATGATGGTACTATTAGACAGATCGTCATTTAGAAATGGTAACATTTACAACTTTTTGCACCTAAATACGCCATGAAAAGAACTTGCATACCTGATCCGTTCATTCTCATCGGCAGCAACAACAATAGGAGAAAAAGGGTGAAGGAGGGCCGTCTTTGTTCCCGTTTCAAATTTTGTATCCCAGTTGGCAATTGGAATATTGTTGAGTCCACTAATAGCTGGTTGAGAACAAACAATATGAGATACAGTTCAAGTAACTAGTATAGATATAGAGTAAGACACAAGATGAACAGAAAGAAATTACTTACATGAATGCTGGCATTTTGTAATTTGGTCAAGCGCAAACTTCTCTCTCTCTTCTCTTTGGGCTATTATCTCTTCATGAGCATCTGCTCCACCAAGAAGAGGTTTAGAAAAGTGACCACTGCTCCATTTGTAGATAGTTGATTGTGGAAGCAAACTCCTTTCAGATCCGCTTGCGCTTGACAACGAATTACTCAATCCAGAGTCTGGAGAAGATATCAGATGAGGGCGGAACTCTAGTGAACAAACTCTCCTCATTCCATTTGCATAGCTTGGTCTCGGAGGGCTTACCGGAGGAGTCCTAAATGTTAACGGCAGATGACCTGTCAGCAACAGTTTCATGGTTAAATAACTTAACAGTTTACAATGGACAACAATTTCAAGATTCACATCAAATAATGATTAAAAAAACACTGCATAACCACCTGTATGCATATCAAACCATGAGGATGAACGAGCTAGACCAGCCAGAGGAGTCAGAGATGCTGAAGCTGCTTCACCTGGTCGGCCACTGGACTTGGATGGTTTGGTGACAACTTGTTCAATCCCAATAATAGATAGCACATGCCGCCCAAGGCTTGCAATACGTGGTGATGGATCTTTAGCTAATGTAAACATAGCTAGAACGCACTGCGAATATATAGCATTATCCAGTGTTCTTGGCTTATGGACAACTCCATTGCTAGGACCATCATGCATGATTCCAGAATCAGAATGCAAGGAAGAATCATCAGATACTGGAGATCCATGCATTAGAGCAGAAGAAGAACCATGAGGGCTACTTGAGATCCTTCCTTCACGTGTCATTGGTTGACTATCAGTGCTAGCTCTAGTCAGAGAACCCATGTGAGAGGAAACAATATTTGAAGTCCCAGCGTCGTGGAATTTGCCCATTGAAGGGAATGAAGTTCGCAGAGAATTTGTCTGGGACTTCCAATATGTAGCTGCAACTGACTTTAGATGCTGTTTGTGTCCAAAGGCAAACCGCACAAGAGCTGTGAGACAATAACAGCATGTTGAGTGTATTCAGGAGATACAAATCCAAGCATTTCAATCTGTCTAAACAAAGGATGATATAATTTGAAGGTTTATTAATATGAGTTGTTATAGACCCTAGAACTCATATAATACGACTATAAGATAAATTCATTTAGGTGTTTTCCTTTGATCTTAATGATACCAGATGTGAATTAAGGAGCCATAGACAACTAATTACGCATGAACAAAAGTTACATGCTTTGCATACCTACAGCAACCTCTGCTCGGACAAGCGCGCTCCCATCTGATACTACATCTAAGAGACTATTTATGACAATATCTTCAGCTATAATCTTTTCATCATCATCAAATTCTTCGTCACCATCACCTTTACCAGAGTCAAACCCAACATCAAGTAAAGTACCAAGGGCAAAAACAGCAGCAGCCCTGACCTGCAAGAGAATGGTGTGGCCAACAATTAGATTGCTATTTCTAAGCAAAAAGAAGCACTGATATTTGATAAGATAGTTAAACTTCAGGTGAAGCACCACCTCTGGTTGGGCCTCGGAAAGCAGAGGTATCAACTTTTCAGAAGCATTTGCCTGCTTGCCCATTATCTGCGCCTCCAAAAAGTCTTCCCACAACTTTCCAAGACAAAGACAGAGCCATTGTAGAAACAATGGATCTGGTGGTGGATCACATAATTGGGAAGCTTCGAGGTGCCCCAGACAAACACCAATTAAATTAGCTTCAAGACATGATTCTTGGCCTTGTTTGTAGCCATCGACAATAACAGCCAAAACAAACGCAGCCATAGCACGTTGTTCTGGGAATGCATCAGAACTATCTAAAAACCTGATGAAATATCTGTGGCCTTTGTCCTTCACAATATCAACTTGACATGACTAAAAACAAAGAGACATCCCTCAAAAACGTTAGGAAAATTCAAAGAATGAATAGGAAACTGAAGTGGCACCATAATAAAGATACGAAGCAAGATACCCACAGAAATTTTAGTCGCCATTATATGGTATTTAGCATTAATCTTAGGAATGATAATATGACCCAACATTTATCTTGGTCACTCTCAATATTAAAAAAACGGAGGCACACTAATAATACAGCCACAAATGGATTTAACAAGCAGATACACAGAAACTAGTCATTAAACTCCAAAAGTGTACCTTATCAAATGCTAGAATTTTTGTCCAAATGAAAACAAGAATCTGCCTTAGCTCTATAGTAGTTGTTTGTAGCAGCTTCACTACGCAAGGATATATTCCAACGGATAACGCCTAGAAAAAGTATGACTTCAAGTAAGGACATATACACAAGATAACAAAGGAGAAACAACTTTTAAAAACAAGGTAAAACAGCACTTTGGGGCATTAGAGGTACCAGATCCACAGCCCATGGACCCATATCAAGAAATCTTCCAAGAAGTACAAGAGCCCGAAACCGATGGCACTGGCTAAGTAAGACCTGAAACGAAACAGATTCCAAGTAAGCTAATATGGTATGATATCAACAAATATAAGGTGAACGGGATAGAATGAGGCCATGTTTGCTCCTTAGATTGTCCAATGGAAAGCAGAAGTGTGGATAAATGAAAGATAGATATAGATCTTTCTCGTGTACAATAAGAGAGGGGCCCTCTCTTAAAACAGAAGGAGGGATAAATTTAGGGTTCATGTGGTACCTGAAGAACAATAGCCAATTGCTCTGGTGGCTTCTTATGCTCAGATCCATGATCAAGCCAGACCTCAAAAGCTGTCAGTTGCTCAGTAAAAAAAAGACTTGGCTAGAAAAAGGAGAGTAAAAAAGGATTACCAACAGGACAGAAATCATAGAGTACTATACAATTACAAGGATATAATAGACAAGACAAACCTGAAATTCCGCATTTGGGTCCAGAAAAAGTTGAGGAAGCTGAGAAAGACAGATTTCAGCAGCCATGTCCCATGCATCCCTGGAAAAAAAAAAAGCAGCGGTTAGCTGAGGTAAGGAGCTCACACATAATTTATCAAAATTCAAATTAGGGATAATTTCCAATACCACATATGATGCTGATGCGTAGGAGGTAGCATAGGATGGGATATTGGGGTACAATTCCCAGACCGCATTATCCTCTCAGCAAGTAAGAAATTTCGGAAAAGGCTAGCAACCAGCAAGTCTTGTCTGAATAATCTTTGGAAAAGTTCTGTGGGGTAAAACCAACTTCATGAGGAATGGAGGAAAAGTGGAAAACAAACAAAGAAGTCAAACTTGAGAGTTTGGCCTTAATACAATTTTTTGTTAACAGTTCCGCCTTGATTCATTAGGTGGAAAGTTTAGGAAATACCGCGAGGAAGCACATTCCAGGCAATGGTGTCCGTGACTGCAGTGAAGATCCAGTTTAACTCTCCTAACAGTGTTTTACGGTCATTTTGGCGACCTGGAATTCTATCAATAAGTGATTCATCGATAATTTCCTTCAGAAGAGAACGTCTGCGGAACCTGCAAAGAAAAGACACTATGAAAGCTGAAAGCCAACTAATCTGCACAGACCCAGATGGAAATAAAACAAAGGCAGATAACGTGAAGAATATAAATGATACACAAAAGAAGCAGACCCTAGAACTGAAGGCAAGCATCTCAATAAGAAACATGGAAGGAGAAGGCTATCAATAGCATGATAAGATGACCCTATTAGTCTCACCAGAACTACTTAGCAACTAGCATCAATCAAAACTAAAATTCAAGAAATTTATGATGACCCATATGTAAGCCAAATTTTTTCTATGCAAACTAGTACGGCAGCTGATAATAACCATATATCTTGATTAATTCAACTTTTGGGAATTGCTGCATCAATCACCCTTTAAAATCAAAACATGTACATAGGGTATTCTAACCAACAGGTTTTCAATATTAACTCAGGAGAAAGCAAGCACATGGTAACTAAAAAACTAGCTTGATGGAGTAACCCCAAATTTCAGCAGAAGAAAAGGTGATATCCAAGTACTTAAAACAAGTCAGATTAAAAGAGAAATTTACCACTTCAATGCCATTTTAATAGGTGTCGTGAGACAAGAAGTAAAAACGTCAGCTGGAAATTCAACACTCTGAGGAAGTGTTTCATGTACATCGCAAGCAGCCAGTAGAATGTAGTCCTTCAAAGATCCAGGAGAGCCGGAAGATCCCGAATCATGAAGCTATCATTACGGGTGAAACAATTTATATCATCTTAGGAAACGTCATTCGTAGAACCAAGCCCTAAACTCAACAGGTAATTTATATCATATGACATGAGTAATTTGATCGTAATATTACCTCTGTGAAGGCATTAACAATCACCCTAGCAGCAGAGCAGTCAAAAACGTAAATTGAGGGTGTCTTCAACCAGGAATCAAGCTCGCTGACTGGCAAGGGAATGTACTGCGTAAAATTCTGCTCACACAAGATGAATAGGTGGCTAATAACAGACAAAAAGAGCATGGTTACTGTAGAAAGAAAGCTAAGAAAAACTCACCTTATTGTAAACCCAGATTTCACCATTAGGTGTAGGTTTGGGCACACCATGGCCATTATAATGAAACAAAACTCTCTCAGTCCTTGCATTTTTCCGACAAGACAAGCACAGCTTCATCACATCGTCCTTTGTAGGATCCAATTGCACCTTATATCGAGCCTGATAAAATTCATAAAATGCAAATGAAGAGGAAGCAAACTCAACAAAGCAACGAAAAAAGGTGCTGGAATCAAAGCTTTCACCCTTGGCAGCCATCTCTCGTACTGAATGCTCAAGTTTTGGCCTATTGTCTCAAGAGCTCTTGGGGGATACATGGAAAATGGATCTGTGATCAAACGAAAGAACGGAAAAAATGACTGCGGGAAACATATAAACAAAAGCAAGAGTGGAATAAGATTGAGTTAAGTGAAAGTTGGACCTATCCAGCATTCCATTCTTGCGCATGGAGATATCCTTATAACATCTGGGGGATCAACACTAATGTTCAAACACATAACTAGGGCTACACATCCTGTTTTCATCTGC